AAAAAAAAAAAAAAAAAAAAAATGCAGTTTCAAATTACAAATACAAAGGATTCGAAACAGTTTAAAATAGTCAAAATGGGTTTAACTGTACATCTAGGAACCATCCTTATAAAATTTTAAAGTAAATAAAATTTACATTAAATAAAATTAAATGACTTCAATCATAATAAGGTCTAAGTGATCAGGTATTTTGCAATTTTGCTACGTCAAGGCAGCCCAGTAATTTAATTGTTAATAAATAATCTACAGATTACATAAAATATAAAGAACTCACAAAACACTAAAGACTATAAAATATAAACAAACATTACCTTTGGCTTTTTATAAAATCCCGACAAATACCATTTCACTACTTTCTTCAAACGGAAATAAGGATTTTCTTCAAGAGCAGCCCTAAAACACAAAACGGTAAATACAAATTTTACAAAATATATCATAAATTCTCTCTCACATTTATTAACCACTAACTGAGTATGAAATAGGAAACATAATTCATATTTTAAAACAACCATGTAATCAATTTTCAACCATGTAAATAAATTTCTGTGAATAAATTTCTTAACCTGGTCACATTTTCCCCCATTTTCCTATTATTTGATACACTGTCCAGGTCTTTGCTAAAGTAGTTTTTGGAAACTCTCCAAACCAAGGTTTCTGAATTGGGATTCTGCAGAACCTGAGATATTAGGGACTCTGTGAAAATTGTCACTGAAAAAAATAAACATGGATTTTGGATTCATGCACTGTGTGATTTCTAGCATTCAGAATGATAGGCAGTGGCCAAGCAGCCTTATTAACAATTTTGTTAGAGGCCTTCTGCGTCATATGTCAGTGAAGGACAAACGTTTACTTGGTTGAGTCCATTCTCAGTTGCTGATGTTAGAGGAGATCAGTGATAACTGGTGGGTGTAATAGTACATGGATAGGGGGAGGACATAGGAAGTAGCTTCCTAATATAGGGTTTGCAGTCCTTAGTACAAAACACAGAAGTTTCAAATTACAAATATGAAGCAGAGTTAAAATGACTAAATCAATCCAGAAGGTTCTAACCTATTTTTATCCTTCAACCAGCTCTTGTGTGCTATAAACTGATTTTCCAGAGTTAATAAACTCAACCAGAATAATGGATAATCAAAGAGTAATTTTCATTTTAAAGAAGAAATTTGTAGGAGCCATGACTCAGCTGCCCCCCCATACAATTCTGCTATTGTTGCAAACATTGCAAAAACCTGATTGTGTATGTCTGCAGTACATTTTACTGAGAAGTTGTTTTTTGTTATTGTTTTCTGTTTGTAATGTAGCTACCATGCCCTTAGTTACAAAAAGGCATTTATGTTTCACATGCATGGCTGACAGTCCAATGTTGTGAATTTTTAAGATGAGACAGCTTGTTGACAATTGTGCAAAGTTGAAAGCTTGAGGTTTTTTGGAGTAACAACCCTCTTGTTACTCTCTTCCCATTTTGTTTTAAATTCCCTTACTAGGCAATTTCATTTTAAAATTAAATATATAGTTCAAAAGTCAAAGCATATAAAGAAGTACACATGTCTCGTTACTGCCTCATCTCTCTACACTGTTCCTACTTACCTTCTACAGCTAACTTTTTAAAAAAGCTTCCTTTTAAGTTTTAGGCATAAACAAGCATATATAAACAAACAGTCCTGTTTTTTCTTGAAAAAAAGGTTGTAAACTCTACATACTTTTCTATACACCTTGCTTTTTTCATACACAATTTTGGAGTTTCCTCCAGATCAGTTTATGGAATTCTTTCCTATAGGTGTGGATGTGCCATACATTATTTAACCAGTACACTATGCTGGACACTGAAGTTATAGCTAATGTTTTATTATTACAAGCCCTTCTGCAACAGTCTTATGTATATGTGGCATTATATCTGTAGGAGTTATTCCCAGAAGTGAGATTAGTGGATCAAATGATGAATGCATGTATAATTTTGGTAAATACTGCCAGATTACCTTCAGGGTCCTGTGCTAGTTTGCACTGCCCATCGTGGTGTATGATAGTGCCTGGTTGCCAACAGAACCTTGGCAACAGTGTGCAATGCCAGAAAAGTATAATCTTTCTATTTGGGACAAGGACATCTCTCAAGAAGATCTTGTGATTCAAAGGAATCTGCCTTACATTCTAGAAGTGAATTTTTAGACAGATAAAAGAAAGAGCAGAAGATACTGCACAGAACCAGGATATAAAAGCTTTTGACTTCTTGTCAATGTGATGGATAAGCAATATCTTACATAATTCAAATGTATATTTTCCTTATTTTGCATGAGGTTTTTACATGTTTGAGGACTGTTCCTATTTTTTAATTTTTGAACTGCCCTGTCATTTCTTCCACCCCCTTTTTTAACAGGCTGTTAATAATTTTCATTCAATTTTTAAAAGCTTTTTATTTTAGGGAGGGTAACATTTTGCCTATGATGAAATTTGCAAAAATTTCCCAGTTTATCAATTATCTTTTGATTCAGCTTATTACGTATTTTCAATGTTCACTTATACAATTTATAGACAGAAACTAAAAATAAGCTCTATAAAGATTCTAAAAATCAGGTCACATGGCTAGATGTCAGTGGCACAGGAAGCACAGTGCCTTGAAACACCATTATTGCTGAAATGGGGGCAGCAGGTAAGAATTGGAAGCATGGACACAAAGTTGCTGTTCCTTGCAAAGTTTACTGGTTTTCCAAGAAATTGCTGGGACAGAGGTGGACAGCTCCTCCTCTGCCTCCATTAGCTGTGCCTTCTTCAGAATTACACCCAGGATCAGCTGGCAGCTTCAGAAGAAAAGCAAAGAAAATACAGATTTGTTCCAAAAGCTAGCAACTGGCAGGTCATTCTAGTTCTGGTAGGCTCACAAGCATGCAGACAGATAAGTATGAGCAAAAATAGAAACCCCAGGATGGGACTGAACAAGGGCTTTCACAGAGAAGAACAAATGTTGCCAATCATTTCTCGCTGTGTTAGGTTAGTGAACTGAGGTTAAGGAGCCTATAACAGCAGTATTACTGAGTAAAGGGTAGAATTCTTGTTTTCCTCAAACTTATGGTATCTCAATTTAACTTTATAAATAGTATTATTACAGCAAATTATTAAATATGCTTCTTACTAAAAGTCAACCATAGAAGTGGCACAGAATAGAGTGATGTCTCATTAGAGCCTGATTTTGGAAAGGAAAAATAATTGAAAATAGCACTCTTGAGAATTTCTGAAATCATGAAGTATTGTCTATTTTAAGAAATAAGAATCTACTTACTCAGACAGGAAATCTGCATGATAGTAGTAATCTGAAAGTTTATCCAGGAAGGAACGGGGTTCCAAAATAAATGTAGGCAGAACCACCTTGGATAGGTCCATGCCAGGACGGACTTGTTTCAATAATGTCCAGATAAGGCTTTTGTTTTCTTCAGACACAGTTTCTGTTTGAGAAGCCTCACCTGCCTTTATCAATTAATGAAAATCACAAAACATTATATGTATTTCAACAATATGTAAACAAGCAAGCTAATGTTGAAAATATGAATTCTTTTCAGAACTACTCCAAGCATTCTTTAAATGTGGAAACAAAAGGTTATAAATAAAATCTATAGCGATAAAACTTAGGTAAAAAGCGTAGCTGAAAAAGACACCAAAGTGAACAATATATGTAAGAAATTTACTACAAAAATATTATAGCTTATTATTTTACACTACATTTACTTCTATGATACACTGGCAATAACAAAGTTATAAACTCATGTTTCCTTGCAACTTACTGTGTACCTGGCAATGACATCAAGCAATACCCTACTTTAAAAGCAAGCTTAAAGAAAATGTAAACTTTAAATTTAACAGAATACATTGGTATTTATGTGAGTATATGTGTTTAGTTGTTCATAAATCCTAACATATTTCTTATGTAGGCAACTTAAAAAATATGTATCATATTCTATCACAAAAAATAGGCAATAGATCAAGCAAATAATATCTTCAATTTCATTTGAAAACTTCCAAGAACATGAAAATCCAAAAATCTCTGAAAATAACAGACTTTTACCTCCCCAAGTTCTTCATGGCTCTGTTCAGTGTAGGTAGTCTCCTTTAAAGGCTCAACAGGCTCAGGCTCTATATATGAGTCATCTTGTCTTTCTGATGTATCTGTGTCACTTTCTTCACTTTTCCCCATCACCTCATTGTCAGATTCATCATGTTCTTGATCATTTTCTTTATCAGATTTATCAGAATACATATCTTGGTCCTTAAAATGCTGTCGTTCAATTTCACTATCATTTAACCTTAAAGGAAAGAAGTTTCAGGAAAAAGAATAAAGGATATTGAGAATGCTCAATTCATACATAATAATTATATACAACATTTATTGATAATTTACTATGTGCCAGACAGTGTTCCAAGTGTTGTACATAGTGTTAATTCACCTAATCTTCAAAATAACCCTGTAAGATAGGTAATATTATTATTCTCATTTTACAGATTAGTAAACAGAGGCACAGAAAAGTTAAGAACTTGGGTAAATGTGAAAAGATGAAACTCTGAGCTCTTTGCCTCTCTACCACTTGAGGCTAAAATCTTCCAAAACCAAAATTTGAGACTACTTCTTGCTAGAATTTTGTTCCTACTTAGTTTTTCAAACAGTATCACTTGATCAATCTCACTGTCACTTATGGTATAAAGAAAAAATACAAGTCCAGATAATCAGATCTCAGCTGAACTCAAAACAAATTACTTTCCACCTGTAAAGGTTTCCAGAGTCACCTCACATGAGTCCAAGAATAAGATATGAAAATGGTAAATAGTAAGCAATTATATTAAATTGTATTCATCTGAAAGGTTTAATCCTGGGAAAAAAAATCCAGAGATAATTAAAAATGAGAATTTCAGCTGAAGGAAATGAACTCATAGACTAAAATCAATTAAGTTTTGTTAAATCTACCCTATTCTCTCTGAAAGTGATTAGGGTAAATAATCTGTACAAAAGGGGGAAAGTGTTAGAAAGAGGTTCCAACAAATACCCATTCCTCTATCAGTAGCCCACCCCATTCCATCCTATCTCATTTAGGCACCAGGTACTTGGGATTAAGATAAAGCTCCAGACCATAGGTCTGCAAATAAATAATATAAAAGGTCAGGTAATGGAGGTTTTAAAGAGAGTGGGGGCTGGGGGAAAAGTCTGGGAAACTTGGTGAGACTACGTCTCTATCAAAAAAATAAATAAATAAATAAATTAGCTGAGTGTGGTAATACAGGCCTGTAGTTCTAGCTACTGGGAAGGCTGAGACTGGAAGATCGATTGAGCCCAGGAGTTCCAGGTTACAGTGAACTATGATTGTGCCACTGAACTGCAGCCTGGGCAACAGAGTGAGTAAGACCTTGACTCTAAAAAATTTAAAAAAGTAATATAGAGAGAGAAAAAAAAAAGAAAAAGGCAAAAGGATAGGGAAGAAATGTCTGAATCGGGCTACACGGAGAAGAGAATAGCAGCCTTTGAGAAGGGCAACCTCAGTGCTGATAAAAAGTGGCTACAGAGCAGAAGCTGAGGGGTGGGAAAAGGGAGGAAACAGGAAAGTCTAATGTTTTTCCTGCAAAGCAACAACAAGACCTGAATCTCAACGAAGTCTTTGCACCGCTGCCCAGTTTCCCTGGAGAAATAGTTTTTCCAGGAACTATTTATTCCCTGAAGCTTCAGGGAATAAAACCACAAAGAGGATACAGTACCAATTCCAAATAGGATACAAACAAATTTCACAAATACCAGGTAAGTCCAGTGCCATTACCAAAAAAGAAAGACAGCTAATGTCTTATAGTTATGAGGCAGGAAAGGCTTCACATATGATGTAATACTCAAGACCGATCTTGAAGAATATATAGACAGGAGAAAAGAGCAAGGAGAAGCAGACAGAAATTCTAAATGGAAGGGACAACATGCACAAACAAGGTGAATAATTCACATGGCTATATTTGAGAACAATAAAGTAAATCACATTGGCTGGAATCAAGGAAATACATTTCTATACCTGAGTATAGCAGCTGAACAAATTTTAAACCAGGCCTTAGGCCATATAAGGAGAAGATATGCAAATTTCAGTCCTAGATATATTACTACAATTCAAGGCCTGCCAACTAATTTTCTGAACAGCATGGTCTCTGAAACCATTACCAAATCAGTGGCAATATCTACTTACTGGAAGTTGTCCCCACTATGGAGATTGTTAGCACGTAATAAGCCATACAAAGTCACATGTGTGCTGTCTGATGAAATGCTCAGGTCATGTTCCTTTCCTTCCCTGATCATTGTACGTTTAAGAAGACTAGAACATTTCAAAGCCAACTCCAAAGCATCCATCCAGCACCTTCCTACAAGAATACAGATTCATAAGCAATATAATTTTTAAAACCATGAAACTATCATGCATCTTAACTTGCTCGGTTACCACTATTTCTCTGAGAAACATACAATGTCAAAGTAAATCTGAACATAACATTCTTAATGAAATCTTTCAGTTTTTCAAAGGCTTTTCACATAGTAAGCAGCTAGAAACCACTGATAAATGAATAGTATACAGTATGCATTAGAAAGTATACTCAATCTAAAATAAGCATATTTTATTTTTCAAATCTTAGAATATTAACATGCAGTATAATTTGAAGATAACAAGCAAGGTACATAAAATACACTGGAGGATTTATGGTTCTACTATAAACAAACTATCTTTGTTAACAGGAAGTCTATCCTCAAGATTAACACCCATTCTAATATACGTATGAAAATTTTTAAGTCAGGAAAATGCCTATATAAGGCTACCATTAACTGCCATATTTAGTTAAGAGAAATATTGGGTTTTTTTTTTTAATTAAAAGTGTATTAGCAGAAAACTTTATATTTGTTTGGTGCTCTTAATTTTCACATATATCACTTCAAGATTTGCTGGGAGTATCAGCCAAGTAAAGCATTTTTCACATTGAAAGCTCATACTTATATTTCAAAAAATCATCTGAGGGTAGGTGCAGTGGCCCACGCCTGTAATCTTAGCACTTGGCGAGGCTGAGGCAGGCAGATCACGAGGTCAGGAGATTGAGACCATCCTGGTCAACATAGTGAAACCCCGCCACTACCAAAAATACAAAAATTAGCTGGGTGTGGTGGTGTGTGCCTGCAATTCCAGCTATTCGGGAGGCTGAGGCAGGAGAATCACTTGAACCAGGGAGTCAGAGGTTGCCGTGAGCTGAGACTGCACGTTGCAATCCAGCTTGGTGACAAGCGAGACTCCGTCTCAAAAAAAAAAAAAAAAATCATCTGATAAAAGTAAACTTTGGAAGGTTACAAGATTCCCTACACCAAACTTGTTTAACTATGAATCACTAAAGTATGAAAGTGATGATGAAATCCATTATTAAGATTTTAAAGTTACCTTGATATCATATAAGTTTTTCTCTCCCCATATAGGCTTCATGAATTAAGTGTAAAAAGAGGAATAAAAAAGATTGTACTTAAATGTCTTACGTAAAAAAAATCCAAAACAGTGTATATGTCTCATAAATGGTAACATTTAGTAATAAAATATAAAAAGTATTAAATATATCTTTAAAATGATAAAACTTAATGAGTTACCATAAAGACCACTAACAAGTAAAAGGTGTTAATATGTCCACGGAGCACGAGGAAAAAGCTCTGAACTGCTAACTCATCAGTAAATAATACAAGCTTCTTTCTTAACAGATTTCCCTATTTGTCTATCAAGTTACTCATATATTTAGTATTCCAAGCAATTTATGATTACCATGCTTCTGCTGCAAATGCTATATCAACAACATATTTCCCCAGAATAATGCAAAGTAGCATTAAAAACCCCTTAAAAATGAAGACCAAAACCCAATCCATCAAAAACTATATTTACCATCTGATTCTGAAGTAGCTCGGATGATCAAATAACTGCTAGGTAAGGGCTGAGTAATGGATCCAACTGCTTCACCTTTTGGACCCTTAGTAACAAAATAAACAAAATAAATGGTATAGAGTAAGTATTATGAGATCTCAACTTTATACTATCCAGTATTATCTATAATAATCTAAATCAGGCATGAATTATAATTTCAAAGCAAACAAGCTCTAATTTCATCATTCTTGAGAATGCAAATGTTAAGTATTAAGAAAAATTTTCTTTTCTAATAAATGCACATCCTTAGCAGAAAACTAAACAAATGACAGTTATCACTTAAATATTATCTGTACATATTGTTCACATATTAAAGAGAACCTAAAGTTTACCATATTAAACTAAATTTTAACTTAACAATGTCCATCCCATGGACATAACTAATCAGATAAGAAATACTAAATTTCTAGAAGGCTAAAGAAAGCATCTGGAAATAGAATTATAATTCAAAAGAAAAAGAGAAATGAATTTTAACTGGGTCTAGGGAAAAATACATCTCCACTTTGTAACCCACGACATATACCCGTTTTTAAACATCAACTATATAAGCTGATTTTATTTTTCCAGAAACATGAAAGAAAAATAAATTTTGTTGTTGTTGGCTAGGGTTATTTGTTTTAGAAGTATATAATATCATCACTAATTAGTATCACCAATGCTAAACTTAGGTAGACACAAATCTGAAAAGAAAACTAAGTACTGAATTTAAAGTATAATTTTGATATGAAAGCATAATTTTTAAGTTGTTTTGTAAGGGTTCCTTAAAGTTATCAGGTCAAAGAACAAAACAGATTTCAAAAAGTATACAACGTCAGAAAGTAAAGATGTAGATTCAAAATGAAAACAGAGAAAAATTAATATGGCTTTAACAAATACTGTAATATTCTGCATTTTCAAACAGCTTTATAATTTATGGGCCAGTTCCTAAAACCGGTATACAGTGGGACATGAAATCAGACTGCCTGGGTTTCAGTCATGGCTCTGTGCTAAGAAAAACAGGGTTCAATTTCTTTATGTGTATAATGGGAAGAAACTGTATCCTCCTTATAGGTATGAGAATTCCATAAATGATTTCATGTAAAATACTCAAGAGTACTCAACACAAAGAACTCACATCTGTTACTATTTCTTAATGACAAACTCTGGTTTCCAAAATGTTTAAACAATATCCTAAGTAGGTTTTGCTTGTGGAAAGTATTTATATAGCTTTCTCTCTTCTTCCAATATTAAGAATTAAATATTATAAATTTGACATTAAAATACTGATTTTCATTGACATTAGAATCATTAATAATTTAAAAATTCATTTTAATACTTGCAATTCCTAAGAGTAAATGAAAATACTGTATCTATAATATATGTATGTGTGTGTGTGCGCACGTGTGTGTGTGTGTGTGTGTGTGTGTGTGTGTGTATTCTTTTAAAAAAGGTTTTGAAAATCATTTTCTCCCTTGAGAATTGCTTAAAATAAAAATATCAGAGTTTTTGGGGTTAAATTCTTTTCCCTACGGGAAGTACCTAATCCCAGAATGGAACTAACTTGGTAATCCCAAATTTATTCTTGCTATGACTTCAGACTACTAAAATAAAGATTAGAAAGTTCAAGTCTTTTCCTAGGTATACATATATTGCATTATTAAGCAATATCCACCCCCCAACACCCCCCCACCCCAAAAAAAAAGGATTAAGCTACTTTTAGTTAACAGTAATCTCAATTAGGTGGTTTTCCCTAAAGGAGAAATCCTAACTTCTTTATTATAGGATAACTGGCCTTCTTAGAAACTAAAGCAATGATCATTTTGTAAAAACTTAAACTAGGATAGGCAAGGTGGCTCACATCTATAATCCCAGCACTTTGGGGGGCTGAGGCAGGAGGGCCCAGGAACTGAAGACCATCCTGGGTAACACAGAAAGACCCTGCCTCTACAAAATTTTTTTTAATTAGCTGAGCATGGTGACACGTGCCTGTAGATCCTAACTACTTGGGAGGCTGAGGTGGGAGGACTGCTTAAGCATGGGAGGCTGAGGCTTCAGTGGGCAATGATCATGCCAGTGCAGTTCAGCCTAGGTGACAGTAAAACCTTGCCTAAAAAAACACACATATACACACACACAATTACTTACACTAGACTCATTTATTCAGTTAGTATAATGCTTTTTTTTTTTGGCAACAGGGTCTTGCTCTGTTGCCCAGGCTGAAGCGCAGTGGCATGCTCATGGCTCACTGAAGCCTCCTCACCTCCCAGGCTCAAGTGATCCTCCCACCGCAGACTACAGTTGGGACTACAGGTACATGCCATCATACCTGGCTAATTTTTGTATTTTTTTGTAGAGACGGGGTTTCACCATGTTGCCCAGGCTGGTCTTGAACTGAGCTCAAGCGATCCACCCATGCTGGCCTCCCAAAGTGCTAGGATTACAGGAATGAGCCACTGCACCCGGCCACATTAATGCTTTTCAGTTATAAAAAACATTAATGCTTCACTTTAAAGAAACCTGCCTCTTTCTCAAGAGTAAGTAGTTAAAAAAAAATTTAAGAATAAGTAAGCTTATAGGCTTCCCATCACACATTTACATCACTAAAGGAAAGACCACAAAATAAATGGCAGTTTCTGTTCCAGGGAATCCTACTTACCATTTTGATAAAGAAAAAAAACAAACAAACAACGATAAATATGATACAATGTTACAAAGCTGAGTTAGTAATTATAAACTGAAAAAATCATAGTACAATTGAACACCCAAGGGCAAAACAGAGAAAAAAAGACGCAATATACAAAGTTACACCTCAAAGGTAAAGCTTTTTGGTGCACGTTTTTGCTATGGGTAGAGGCAAAATGGGGAATAATGCACTGGAAAGCAGAACAGATTCATAAGTCCTGACAGAGGACTAAACTCATTTGATTGATTTATCTGATTTCTACTCATAGATTACCATCTTTACCTTTCACCTATATAACAAGGACTTACTTACCTTCACTGCCCAAATAGATTGCTCCAAAGGATGGAAAAGTTTGAAACAAAAGCCATCCTTTTTTGATGGACGCTCAATGATTTCACAGGCATTCAGAAGAACTGTTCCTACCCACTGACCATTTTTTTGGGTTTTATAGATCAGTAGCACCCCAGGTTTCAACACACACCACAACTTGGTCCAGCTCTTTAGAGTACCACGAATCTACAGAAAGATAAGTTTATTTTTAAAATGAAGATCTATTCCACAAGGTCCAAACCAAAAAACTGCAAATAAGATGTTTCAATCTAAAATTTCCATAACATGTACACTTTAAATAGATATTTTGCTTAAAAACTACTACATGGCAAACACAGCAAACAGACATGAAAATGATGTGGCTCTTATTTATAAGAAACTTAAATTTTAGTGGGAGACAAACCAACAGTTTCACAATAGTGTACTAAGTAGAATAATTTTCTTAATCTCCCTGACCAGGTCAGGGGCCATTGAAATATACTTTCCTAGTACTGAGATTCTTTTTGTAACATTGATCATGGCTGTAATCTTATTTGTGTGTATATGATGATTCTGCTTAAAACAATTTTTCCCCTTCACATCAACAGGGCAGAAAACACTGCTGGCACACACTAGGCATTCCCTAAGTATTTGGTGAGCGGAAGGAAGAGAAAATAACTTCCCCCTCGCCCCTAAAATTACGTAATTTAAATTACTCTGTTCCTTGTAATTACATAAAATATATCATATAAATTTATTGGAGGATATTTTAAACGCAAGTTACATGAATCCCTATACTCTCATAAAATGTTCCTCATCCTAGGGTTTAATGCTATGTCAATAATAAGTCTAAAATTACTTTTTCTATCAATTTCTACTTCCATCATCTATTAAATTGTTTCTGTGCAATTCAGTGAATTCAAAATATTGAAAGGATGTTAATATTTAGATCAAAGATAAGAATTACACTTTTATTTACTGTAAAACATCTGCTATTTCAATGTACCTACAAGATGTATGAAATAATACAGGATTCCCTAACCCCCAAAATAGGCATACCACAGTAACTCTCAACAAGACACATTTAGAAAGGAGGAGTTTGGAGCCAGGCATGAAGAAAAGAGAAAATCTTAAGATATGTGTATGTGTAAAAGAATGGTAAGACAAGAGATGTGAAAGGAAGATAGGTCCCCTGAAATAACATTTTGGATCACGGAGATGCAACAGAACACAAAGGACAAATTATCAGAAGGAAGGTAAGGTAGAGAAAGTCAGCCAGGGAATGTGTTGGGGACTTAATATTTTAACTCTGAAAAACCTAAGTGAGACCTTGAGCTAATACACTTCTAAGTAGAGTCAAAACAAGTTGGAAGGTGTTATAGGCACAAGATTGAAGACCTTAGTATTAATTACCTGAATTGTCAGGGGAACTATCACTAGACGCTCATTTTAGTGAGAGGAGTCCTGTGAGAGTTCTCTTAAGGTTTATGAGGTCAGGGGTCTTAGTAACTCTTGGCAAAAATGGAAAGCTTTCAGGGTTGGGATGATTCTCAGGTACATGCAAGGTACTAAAATTTTCTGTGAGTCAGAGTCCTACAAGATCACTCTTCAAGTTAGGATTCCTACCAGCTGTCTTTCAGATAAGAATGAGAAAGAGGACAGAGTGACCAGGATGAAAGAAAAGAAAAGAAAAATAACCAGAGGCCAAAATAATAGGGTATAGAAACAGCAATGTGTGCTTATCTGATAATTGATAATTTTCATTTGAAAAAATACATTATATATCCAACTGATAATCATTTTCAAGTAACTTTTATATTAAGTTTGTATCATCTCTTTTTAATAATATACCAAGTATACAGTAATACTTAACAATAATTGAAATTGCAAGCAATATATTTTTTATGGCATATTGTAGTAGACAACACATCACACAAACCACAAAGCTTTTTTAAAAGAAATGCTATATTGTATGTAATTGATGCTACTGTTAAGAGAGGCATTAAGATTCCTTCTCTTCATTCAGATGGGAACACAGAACCTCTGGGAATACAATAATAGTTCCTTTGCCAGTGAAAAACAATAATCTTAGGAGTTGTTTTTGTCTCATAGGTTTTAGGTATACTCTGGGCTTTTCCATTCCAGTAGGTAAACATCCAGCAATCTGAATTCATGATTCACAACACACTGACCTTCAGCCAATCAGCCATAACAATAACAGAAGGATCTGTGATTGTACTGAGCAGCTCCTTTGTGGCTCTTTTCTTTTCTTCACGGTAATTTTTCT